TTGTGAACCCTTTTAACAAGTGTGACAAATATAGTAAATATATTCTGAAAATCCGGGAAAAAATTGAGTCAATTTTAACGTAAAATTGACACTTTTTTAGTAATATTTAAAAATTTACATCATATACCCCTACTTTTGATGTTCATTTCTAAATATTCAAGATAACTTTGAACTATTTACTGAAAATCAGAACAAGTTTAAGACTTTGAAATAATTTTCTTGCTAATCAAATTTTCAATGCCAGAAAAAATCACATTAATTAGTGCAGAAAGGTCAAATAATTGATTACTGTAAATCACTTTTTATTCACGTGAACTTTATTTACGCGTAATTACGCGAGACAGTGTGCTCGCGAAAATTTAATTCTCGCGTATAATAGTATTCCTTAGGATTATATAGAGAAATAACCACAATTCATGAAAAATTTTTCTCGCTTATTAAGAATCAATGCCTATCTTGCGAAAATAAGATGTCGCAAAAATTTAGTGATCTACAGTTTGCGAAGCAATTTGAAACTTTTTCTTTTTTGAAGCAGACTTAGAGTTCATTTTCTTTCATGCATTAATTGGATAAAAATATTGAAGGGAAAACTTGGAGAATGTTCTCTTTAATTAGACATAAATTTCAGTGGAAAAAGGTCATATCAAATGTACTGTAGCGCCAAAAGAAGCATATTGACCCTTGTGTTTTGATTTGAATTTTAATTAAGTTATTTGGGTAGAAACTAGAAATATACTTGGCAAAAAAGTTTAAGACTTTAAATATCAGGATCGAACGTCGTTAAACCTATCATTTTAAAATTCTTCACATGTCAAAGCAGGACAGACCTTTAGGTTACGTTAGGGTTACAGATTTATCATGTAAATTCAGTATGATAAAGTGTGACTTGCACAACTATTGAAATACAGACAAAGGTGTCTATCAGCCACGTTTTTACTTCAAATTTAATGCAATTTGCCATTCCTTTGCCAAACATTGACGGGCTAAGTACTAATAAATTTAACGGATTTGAATATAAGGTTCCATGCATCATTTGCATGCTCAGGCCCAAAACTATTTTTGAATGATATCATTTCCATAATTTAAGTACTGATACTTTTCGGAATGAAAATCTAGCTTTTAAAGAGCGGAAAATATATAAGGTAGATGAAAAATTTCTAAAAACGTGTAGTACTACATGTTTCATAGATAAGAACATTGATTCGAATTATACTGGCAGTGGTATAATGATGCATCTGTTATTCATAAATTTCTGTAATAACCATGCAAAACGTTTTTTTTTTATCTTAAGGAGAGATAAATATTTCTTGCTTAATTCCGTTCTAAATCATTTTAGCGTGAATCTTGAATGGAAGTGACATTTAATTACAGTTTCGTGATTGTAGAAGCTTATAAACTGAGAACACTATATTCAAACAGCAAATTATTGCATTCAAGATATTTTACAAATGAAGATGTGTGTTACAGAGTTTGTACTTGTCATTCACATATAAACAGCAGGAGTTCTACTTGGATAATATTTCTTTTCGTATACGTACTCTAGGAAACTTACATTTTCCCCACTCGTATACCAAGGAATTAAAACCAACGTTTTAAACAGTGTTTGAGGAAGGTAAGTAAGGAATATTTACTGTACATGTATGTTCGATTACAACAAAAAAAAAAAATGCACTTTTTCATACGAATGTATACTGTGTTAGTGTAAATTATGCTCATGCATGGCAAAAATTTAAATGAAAAGTCTTCAAACCTCCGATTTAGAAAAGTATAACAATTAATCACTAATTACATTGATTATAAAAGATCAATTTTTTAACTGCAAGACAAATCTGAATGTAATTTGAATTTTTTTAAACGGAATAATAAATAGTAACAACATTATATAAATATCGCATGTATTAAAAATTTTAACTCTAAGAAAACCATTCTCAACCGAGGCGCAGCTGAGGTTGACAATGGTTTTCGAGGGGTGGAAAAACTAGTCTTAAATGTAATTGAAAAGGCTTACAGGCATGTCAAAATACAGTGTATCACACGGAAACAAAGTGTTAAACAGAAAGAGTTTATTTATTACCTTGACGTACATGTATGACTTGCATTCATTAATCGACTCGATATATCCTTGTAAACATCAAAGATGAGACTTTGGTTGTTTTTTCTAGCAATAGACAGTAAGGACAAACTAAAAACTACTTTGTTACCTTACAAACTTTAAAGTGATTTCAGCTTTATCATTTCAAATTGATTTTCTTCTTTATACAGTAATATTCCGCTTTTCGCTGCATACGTTTTTACATTTTCCAACGTAATCGATACTAATTTGCATATTCCAACTACGATTACTATTTTAAAATTATTTAAGGTCATGACAAGTGCATTGGGTTTACATGGATTGCAGTCAGCTCATTAAAATTCCTATTTTATAAACTTTGTGGTCGTTGTGATGATAATGCTAGAAAATTTAAAAATTTAAAATTTCAAGGATCGTGTGCAGTCTGATTTGTTGCAGACCTGTCCAATTGATAATATTTTTTAATTCAACTACGGAATGTTCCATCTTACTGATACATAAGCCTCAAAGGCGAAGGCAACCAGTCTGTTGGGGATGCTTACTCCTTTTAGGCACTTGGTCCCGTTTTTTTGTAATTTCATTGGTTTCCGTTTACAAATTCGTATTATTTATGGTTTTATAAGATCAGTAACATTCTTGTTATCTTTTTAATTCATTCTTTCACTAATAGTTATTTAATTAGTAAAATAAGAAAATTATGATATGATAATTTGAAAAATGCTTCATAATAAAATATAAAAACATTCTTTTTTTCTCCAGAAATATGAAGATGTGTGTTATTGCAGCCCTGTGCATGGCCATCATTGTAGAACTGCCCCTGGCAAGGTCATCCTCTCCATCTGAGTTTATGGAATCCATTGATGGTTACAGAAGCGCTTGTAAAAAGCTTGGCCCGGAACCAAAAGAAGGTCTGGCTCAAACATGTCATGTCATGCTTCCTTGTTTAGTAAAAAAGATAATAGCATATGTTTCTAACATATGATGGTATTATTTGTGAGCAGTGTTCTATGTTTTCTGTTTTTGTAGACTCATAAGATACAGAGTATTACATTACGTATCACATTATTAAGCTCACATTTCTAATCGCAGAAATTTCTTTTAACAATGCAAATTCTGAACTAAATATCAGAAAAAAAAAAATTGAAAACTACATATAAAGAAATTTGTCATTTTCTGTTTTCGCCGTTCCGTTGTCAATCGATTGTAATCTTTTGAACATTTCTAACATCTGGAACATCTTAATCAATTTCAACTAATTATACCCATGGAGAGAACGATCATAGGCATTTATGCCTGCTGTTCAATCCATTTCATTAAATGAATAAAATATATTTTAAACTAACTAATTATAGCATATAACTTCCATGGATAAAGTCGATAAATTCAAATCATAGAAATGATTACGAATAGTATCTCGTCCAATTGTGAATTGTATGGTACCTGGGTAAAGAGGTCCAGGGGGAGGGGGGCTTATTCATTAATATATACTAAAAAAATAATGCTTTGAAAGTTCTCTCCTCTCCCACTTGTTTTTAAGCAAAATTACTATATACACAGGACTGGTATAAAAAGTTTAGGTGTCTCTTTCAAAATTTTGAATTGCGTGATCCATAGATCAATGGTTCCGGAGGGGGAGGGGGCTTATTATATGCAAAAAAATAATGCTTTGAATATTTTCTCATCTGCCACTTAGTATGAGCACGCAAATTAAATACATTTGTAAAATTAGAAAAGGTTTTTCTTCTCTTACTTTCCGTATATTTGCGTTCTTATGAAGCAGATTCTGTTCAAAATCGTATACGCGAAAAGAAGAAAACACTTGCTGTGGCCTTCAATTCGACATTTAGATATATCGATGGTTATTTCCATTCTTAATTCGATACGATATATCCCGGTTAGCTTGAGATAAAGGATATCACAGAGTCTGACACATATGTTTCATATCTAGACATTTTCGTGCAAATGAAAAAGCATTAACTTTAATCTAACAACTAAGCCCTCTAGGATAAAAATGATGAATTTAACTTTTCAATCGTCAACTTTCTTTGCTTGGGCAGCAATATTCCTCCATTGCCTGCATACGGAGTTTATATCTCTTAGTTGATTCGATACGCAAGGGCATACGCTACGTATGTACAATTTTTAAGACGTGGTAGATTGTTGACAAACAGGTTGAGGAAACAAGGATATCATTCAAGATACTCGTTTAAAGTCATCATTCCGTAAGTTCTTTGGTCGATTCAAGTACCTTTTCAGCAAATACAAATTTTCATTGAGTCAAATGCTGACAGACGCTTTTCATATAAATTGTAAGTCCCTTGTTTGTGCACGGAATTGACGACGGTTTCCCGTTATTCCCGAAAGGGGATGCTCACTCTTCCATGACACCTTATCCCACCATGTTTTGGAGGTCCTTGCTTGCTCTGCGCCTAATTTGTATTGTATATTGAACTTGTGAGCTTTAATACTGTTCTTTATCTCAATATCTTTCATTTTCAAATTGTAAATTTCATGACCCCTATATAAGGGTTTCTTGTGCCGTGGTTGGGCTCTATTGATAAATAGCAAATACGCATTTATCTAAACAATAAAATGCTTTCTTTGTTTGTTATTACTGGAATTAACGGAAGCAGCTGTTGCAGAAAAAACACATAACCCGCGTAAGCGGGTTATGTAATTTTTTCTGCAATAGCTGCGACCGTTAATTCCAGTAATAACAAACAAAAAAGACATTTTATTGTTTATATTAATATCTGTTTAAATAATCATTTAAAGTAGGATTAAAAAGATGAATTATTGCATTAATGATGCGAACGTCTTTATGCGTTTCATTAATGGTAAAGCCACTGATCAAGAAATCTGTATAGGCGACATGCCTACTGTAGTTCATGCAGTGATTAAAGCAGTGGGTTTTCTTAAGAAATAAACGAGAAAATATTCAGTGGATGTAAATATTCATGAATAATCTTTTCTTCTGCTCCTGAGTATTAAGCAAACAAACTAAATGCGATCCATGTACATGTATTAAATAAAATCAAAAGCATATGTTCCTTTTCTTTGCTTCTGTGTATCTAGGAGGCAAATAGAGCACATGCATTTGTGATAATTGAAGTGCATTAGAGTACCCCCCCCCCTTTCCGCTAGATGTTAATCAAACAATACTTGTTTATAACTTAATTAAAAGGTTATTTGATTGAATTATTTGATTGAATAAGAATGAAAGAAATAATTATATATATAGAAACAAATAAGAATAAATGTTTTGTTTATATGAGCAAAATATTCTCAAAGTAAGATACTTGCCTGGAAAGCACTATGCTTGTAAAAGATTAAAAGAATAACATTAGGATTATTTATACATGTATGTTTTGCAGAAGATGTAATTGTACACAGTATGGTAACACTGTGTTTTTCAGTTGGACAGTAGATTATTGAGTTATTGTCACTGGAAAAGTGAAGTTTATCAAGAGACTTGATAAGGCCGCGGGTGCTTTACTCATCATTAAATACAGTTTTATTTGGTTCATGGTGTATGTTGATATTAGAATTCTCTTCCTTTGGTTGATAATTCATAGTGATTTCAATTGTGAACTAGAGGTACTGTGAGTAATGAGCTCACTGAATAATACCCCCCGCCTCCCATATGAATATAATGGCAGTATCCATGTTTTGCTCTGGAAAATCCAAAATATGTGTCGGATGAAAAAGTAAAATAGGAGGTGCACAATGGCAATATGTCATAAACATTCTGTGAAAATTTCATTAAATTTCCTTGAGTGGTACATGTATGAGAGGAGTTGCGGATAAGAGATGGGTACCCCAAAGCGTAACAGACGGACGGACGGACAGACGTACAGACGGACGGAATTAACGATTACTATATACCCTCCCGCTTTTCAAGTGAAGGGTATAATAAATAACTCGATGATATGCTGATATAAAGTGCAAAAAGATAAGATAAAATTCAGCAAAGAAAGCGGCTTAAATCAGGGAAATATGTTTAATTTTATGTTTACCATTAATTGTATTTGCTGGATAAAACTAACAAAAAAATTAAGAAATGTACTTGTACCTATATTTGCTTATTGATTTATAGTGTACGTAGATTTAATTGTGTAAAGTCATTCCTAGATTCTAATAGGTGTTGGTTGTTGACCGGGAAATGGGGGGTGGGGGGCAGAATGATTGGAATGAAGAAGAAAAGATGTAATCTGTTTAGATTGTTTCTAATAAAAACAAAATACTTGTTTTTCGCAAAATAGTTTTATATTCCGATGTTTGTCAGTGCTTACTTACCTTTTTTTAGTGCACAAAGGTCAATATTTTTGTCACACGAGTACGAAAATAAAAGAAAATGTCATATCTCTCGTTTATTTTATCACAGAGGTATACTTTTTTCTTTGTTAAAATAAAAAGATGAATCATTTTTTACAAAAACTATGAATTACAACATTTTCACACAAAGACTTTTTAAGGTATTACCTATTATGCATGTCGGAATTGTAAAAAATACGACAAGAAAAATGGGTGATACTTACATTGTGCTCCATTATAATTTTTCTTGCGAAATGAATTACAATAAATTTGCGTTCATTTTAAAGATACAAGTCATATAAATTAAATACATGTTGGATTTGAATGTGAAATGACATTTTTGGTTCTTTTTAGAGCATATTTGGGGTAAAACAATAATGTCTGAAAATAATCTATTTTTAGCAATTCACACTGTTTTTGCACATGCTCCTGTGTAAAAAAAAGCATATAAAGGTATTGTTTTTTTATGCCTAAAAATTAAGAGCAAGTGGTCAGAAAAGAAATGTCAGAAGTTTGAAAATTTCACACAAAGACTTTTCGGACATATGTCCCCCTTAAGCAATTAAGGATATTTTAACCAGATGTTTAAACTTCTTGGGAAACTTAATCATGCATTGCATCGTCTTTGAGCTAATTTTGTTTTCTATCTCTATGGATCGTTTACAGTGATGTATTATATTCAGGTGACCATTTAGGCCCTTGGGCTTCTTGTTTACTCTCAAGTTGGGTTACTTTTGGTTGTCTCCGTATATGAAGGAGCGAAATTCAAAGCAGCATTTCTAGAACTAATTTTAGAAATAAACAATTTACTTTATTTAAAATGTTTAAATGATTACATTGTGAAATTCTTATTTAAAATGCCATGTGACATGTTTGTTTATGTAGGGTGTTCCTCAATTGGCGATGTCATTGCCTTCCACGCCGCCATTAAATCCCATCTCAGTAATGTTCCTGTCAACACAACCATAAAATTTGAGGATGTTCTGCTGAATAAAGGAAACGGGTATGATCCTCCAACAGGCGTTTTTACAGCACCAGAGGATGGCGTCTATTCCTTCAAGTGGACATTTATTTCGTCCAGGAAATCAACAGTTTACTTAGAGGCAGTGGTAGATGGAGCATCAAAAGCAAAGATCTGTGTGAATGATCAACAAAGTGCCCACATTAACACCTCAGGACATTTGCTTTATGAACTGAAGAGTGGGAACAAAGTATGGATCAGAACTTTCTATGTGGCGGCTGGATACATACATGCTGACAATTACACTTATTTCTCAGGATTCAAAATTAGTTACGTCTAGCTCTATAGCTAGGTAGGACAGCAGGATACCGTAAATATATTATATTTAGCGTGTTCAATATTTGGCAAAATTGACGTTTAAACACGTAAGCGTAGATTTGATATAGCCAGTTCCTAATATTCTTATCTATGTAACTTTATATGAGCAAGACATTAAAGGTTTTATTTGAATTTGCGGAAGTTTCTTTCCGCCAAAAGCGCTTAAATGAATACACTGCCAAATGTAATACGTTGACAATATCTGTATATATTTAATAAAAAAAAAAAACAAGAACTGACCTCTTTTTCAAAATACATATTAACATTTAAATGAGTTTATTGCAGATAAAATGTTGAAATCATAATTGAATATTTGTTGTAATTTTTTTTAATACTGAACATGTATATTTACCTCTTCCTTATTACTTTGTGAAAGAAAAAAAATGAATACGTTTACTTTATTTTCTCAAATATCAAAACTAGCCCATTAGGTTCCAGAGGAAAGAAGGAAAGAAATCATCATACTTATGTTAAATGTCTGTTTCTGAGATAACTTGTATGAACAATAGAACTGTGAAGAAATGTTTATATGCTACTAAAGCAAGGAACTGTCGTTAGTCTGTTAATTCTCATCATAGAAACTAATGCTTGAAAAAAATAGCGCTGGTCGATGACGGAGTACTTTTTTGAAGCATGTTTTGATATGCATAGAAGGGTTGTGATACGTTTTAAAATATCTGTGACCTAAAAAGAGTTGTGAAAGGTTAAATTTGAAATTTTTAATTTATATTTACGAACCTTAAGATATCAGCTAACCTGGGGGAATATAACCATTGGTATGTAGCAAAAAATTAAAAACATTACAAATAAGTTTTTTATTGTTAAACAGAAAAGGCTGGTAATGACAACAAAATTCTCTATACCTTGCGCAAATACGCTAGACCTAATCTAATAAGTCATTCTATTCGTTTTCAAATTAAATCATCTCATTATTGAAAGATAAATATTATTAAATGAAAAAAAAAATGTAAAAATTTTGTTCTTTGATCGATGTATTACAATAAGCTTGGACGTAAAACTTCATCCATCCATTGCGCATACATATGTACCAGTATATTCACTGATTCAACCATTTTAAATTTCAGCAACGTTTTTGTGATGCATTCCTTCGCAATATCTTTGATGCTTAAATTACGATGGCCGATATCAGCCTCAACATATTCTGACTGCTGTTGAAATTTGTACATCTTAAATGTACATAGACATGTACATTTTGCAATGACAGTGCACACTTTGTGCCCTTAACTTTTGTCTGTACATGTACAAAATAGAAATGACAGTGCGCACTTTGTACTCATATTTTGTCTGTACATGTACAAAATGGCGAAAAGGCAAATGTCAAAACGTGAACGGTTGAAACACATATGCTTTTAATTACAATTCCCGATCGGCGAAAGACCATTAAGTATGAATAAAATTGTACAACGGTGAAGAGTTGAACATTTAAAACAAAATGTGTGAAACACTATGCCACCAATGGTAACACAATTCTGGGGTGGGACGTAGACGGTATACACTTGTAAGATGTATTAAGGGTAAAAACATTGAAAACACTTAAGACCTTTTGTTTTAAAAATAGTATTGTGTTATGGTTAATTCTGTACGTTTTGTGAAACACAAAGTTAAAGTTTTTCAAATGTACGTAGGTCAAAAGTAACAGTTGAGATTACAATTTAATCTTACGTTCGTTATATTCTGGTTAGACTCTTACTCAAGGAAACCAGTTATAATGCCCTTTAAAATTTTCCTTTATTTTTGATCAAAAAAGGAGTGTAAACACATACAGATGGAGTTTCCATATAGTCAGCATTTTCTGGGGTGGATGGGGGTAATTCTTTGTACAAAAAAAATTTGGTGGAGGGTGATTTTATTCTATGAAGTTTTTATTCTTGTCAGTAAAAGACGACAAATTTTAACTTTAGATCTAATTCTAATGTCAACAGGAATATTTGCATTTTCTTTTCATATTTTTCATACTTTAATTGCAAAACTTATCTACTCAGTGCCTTGTACAATTTTATTCATATTTAATGATTTTTCGCCGCCCAGGAATTGTAATTAAATGCATATGCGTTTCAACCGTTCAAGTTTTGACATTTGCCTTTTTGCCATTTTGTACATGTACAGACAAAAGTTAAGAGCACAAAGTGTGCACTGTCATTGCAAAATGTACATGTCAATGTACATTTTAGACGTACAAATTTTTAAAAGCAGTCGGAATATGTACAGGCTGATATCGGTCATCGAATTAAATTGAATGTGTTACAGTGTAAGGAATATGTGTCTTACTATTTTATTTTGTTTCATGATGTGATCAATGCATAAAAATGATAAGGTATTGTACATGGAAAACAACAAATTATGGCGAATGCTCTTTAGGATTCAGTGTATCAACAATATATGTACCATGGTGTTGCAAAGATTGATAAACATTATGATGTGATACCAAAATGTGTACATCATATGGTTGTTCAGTAATACGCTTTGCTTTAAGAGCCGAGAAAAAATCCAATGATACTTTTGATTTAACATTGATAGTTCGAGTACCAGAAATGTTTGTGACATTAAAACCAATCCAATCAAATGTCATAGATGAAGCAAATGGTAATGTAGTAACATTAATGTGAAAAATGTCTGTAGGTGGTACAATTTTCCAAAATGATGGACAGAGTGGCAAATTTAGAACAGGTACAAAAATACACTCACCACCAATTGTTAATTCAATGACAATCTGGGTAAATCTGTGTTTTCTTTGCAAATAAAAATTATACAAGAAACAGAACAGCAGTATCAAAACCACAATTGCATTCATTAAAACAGAGGCATGATTCCAAGAAAAATTTTGAATTAACAAATCAAATTCAGAGGGAGCAGGTGTAGGAGTAGACAATGTTTTGTAAATAAAGGAGGGGATTTGAGATTCAGATTTTACAGGAGTTGTTGTTTGTAAAATAGCTATTACAGCAAGTAACTTTCGAACTTTCAAAAATGTAAAAATGACACCAAAAATTGCAACAATAGAAATAGCAAGAGCAACAAAGTCAATAATATCACTCACACTGGGCCAGGAGGAATTGATTTTAATATTTCCTTCCAGCAAAGGTTCAGTCAATGATTGAAATACAAGTTCATCCTTCTTTGCAGCTTTAACCATTTTAGATAAATTGAGATGTGCTTTGTTATCATTAGCCAAAAATTGATTGTAATTGTGAGCATACAATTTGAAACTTGGTAGATTTACTTTGACAGACTCTGCAAAAGTTGTGTCTCCTAAAATTGATTGTAGTTTAGAGTCATCAAAGAATTCATGAAGAAGTGCCAAATTTACAGGATGAGCTATTGAAATGGTTAAATTTAAAGAATTGTGACAATCAATTAATTTTGGGGAGTAATAAAGATCTTTTGTTGTTAATGTACATTTGCATGGAACATTCAGAATACAAAATTTACATCCTGGCAAAATTTCTTGTTTCTTTGGGCATGTAAGTTCAATATTCCAGCTATTGAATAGAAGAACAGAGGTACTGGAAAGTTCAATAATATCAGGCTTTAAAATATCTTGAAAATACCTAAAGATACAAAAATCTTTGATCCACTTTTTGTTATTGGCAAAAACGCCAATAGTACATGAAGGTGAGGTTACTGGAGTTAAAGCTTTGTTGAAGTTACAATGAATGTTGGAAGGATCATGTTCACAAGTTTCCAGATCTGCAGTTGTAAATGTAGTGTAGAATTGTTGGTGTGATGTAACCGCAAAATATGTTGGTAAATATAAAATGTTTGTTGCATGAGATGCAGTGGAATTGATAGGTACAGGATATGAAATGACTTTGTACAGACGCAATGGTTCCATATGTGATGTAATTGGAAATTTCACGGTTATGTACAGTGAGTGGTTCATTCTTGCATAAAAGAAGTCAGCATGTTGATAATACCATGGAATTTGGGTTTGTGAAATGTAAAAATTTGGTTGGGTTTTGGACAATTTTCTCTGAATCTCACCAATAGTTTTGTGCAAAATAGACTTTGGCAAAAATGTAGGTGTAAGTTTGCCTTGAATGAGTGCAAGTATTGAGGAATGTAAATTGTCAATTTCTGCTCTGAGTTTACTGGAAAGATCAATTTGCTTTGTTAAAATTTTGGAAGTATTGGCAAGAACCATTTTCAAATGTTGAAGATCAAAGAAAAATGTTTGTGAAATTGTATTGATTACTTTGTAATTATTAGAGATTCCTAATTGTAAATTATCCATGCGTTTGTTTGCAGTAGCCATGTATGATGACATGTGTGCACCATGTTGTATTAAAGCATAAGCAATGTTTTGGGTGGTTTTTGTCAAAGAATTAATATGAGATGCTAAAATGTTCACATCATCCATTGTTGCTGTTCCAAAAAGTCCTTTTGATAGAGAACCAATGAAAGGTAAAAGAGCTCTGTGTTGCTTCTTTGACTTGTTTGATTTGTGGAAAGGAATGACATTCTTGATGAATTTTAAGGTCTTAGTAACATGAGAATAAAGTTCTAATTGAACACCATGAACTTGATCTAAAAGACTTTGTTGAAACTGACAATCAATAACTTTAGAACAAGACTTTTGATTAACAGAAAAACCTTTTGGGATATCAATGTCACTTGGAATGGGGATTTGGAAGGTGTGCATCCAATATTCCCTGGAAAGCTGTAAGGTACCTTCGGATTTGAAAATTGTGCCATAATTGAGACGCTGGATTACATTGTCGATTTCCACTTTGTTCTGGGAGGTTTTGGTGATCGCGGTTACAGGGGATAATAGGCATACCAGAGCACAGACTGTGAGAAAGTGTTGATTAAAACCTCTATGAAAGAAACCTACAAGACACAAGAAAGAACAATAAATGGTAAAAAGAGTCAAAAGAATGTGTTGATCAGACACATATTAGCACTAAATAAACAACAGTAAGAAACAATAATTTCCACCGATTAAATGACTATTGACCAAATACCATTCAAATTGAATCTCATAGGCCTGATTCAAGTCGGCCGAAAGGTTATAATATACTTTCTCAAATCTGATATATGCAACACTGCTTTCTCTGACCTATTTAGAGTTAAGGGAGGTAAAATG